AAAGAAAAGAAAGATGGTATCAATAGTAATAGGCTCCTTAGTTGCAATCCTAAAACATTTGGAGCATCATTTGAACATCATCAGCATAGGTCAATTACAAAGGCAGCCTTACTCAGAACAGCTTATGTCCTGCAATACATTTAACACTATCAAACAACAACATTTGCCCATCCCAGGTTATTAGTAAGGACTTGGTACGTGGATAATTATTACTATTGTAAGGACCTACCTCAACCAGATCCCCCAAGAAAGCAGAACTCTTGAAACAGACATCGTCTCAAAAGGAACTTTTATTAGGAGTTAGTGTTAGCAGGGAAACAAAGCGAGGTCTGAGGAAAAATTCCGCGCAAGCAATATATCAAAAGCAATATTTGTTACTCCTCCCCCCGGGGTCACAGGGTCCATTTGAATCTCATCCAATCCACAGGTGGTATACTGTTTTGGTAACTGGCTCCTTTGGCATGCTCTTCAAGGTCTTTCTCGGTTTCGTTTCCCTCTGGCTCCAAGCGCAAACCCTCTCCTAGATAAGGGTGATGTTATTCGGCTGCATTCCTTCTCCTGTGGGAAGGGCAAAGTGGCAGGACAAAGCAAAGCATCCCCCAAAGTATTCCCCCTCCCAACAGAATGGCAGGCCCCCCCAAAAATGGTTACAGACACTGATATATGATAGTCAGAAAAGCAATAGATTTCTTTAGGGATCTGACAACTATGATAGTTTGTGTGCCTGCACTTCGACCTACACTAACTTGCAAGTCCCTTTCACTGAAATCAAATGGCTGTAATGACAAGTTTTGCACTCAGGACTAAGGTGTAAACTTTTAACACAGTATAACTGTCTTTATTTGATAGCACAGTTGAAACTGCAAGAGAAAATAGCTGCTTTGAATCAAACAAAGATACATTTCTTGGGTGGAAAACTCTCCTGGTTAAATAAAGCTATGTTGTTTCTTAGCTAAATAGAAGATTTTATTCCCAATTGGCTTCCTAAAAATACACTATAATTCTATTTTGATGAGTTTTCTCTTTATTCCTTATAGGTACTTAAGTTGGGACATGCCTCAAGAGGTCATGGCAATAAAGTCAACTCAGCTAAAACTCCCAGCAGCTGCACGACAGGTATGTTGACATGGAAGTGTTTATGACTGCTCTTTAAAAAGATGTGCCATTGCATTTTAGAGAAAGCCTGTTGCTTTCTCTTCATGCTTACACGGCAATTGCATCTTTAAAGTACATGGATCCCTTATGAACCCTTTTGAGGTTAGCACACAAGTTACTGCTCCATTGTGTTGCAGTTTACTAACAACGCAGTTGAGAACTTGCAAGCATGAGCCATACCTTAATCTAGCCTTCCCCAATTTTAATCCTTCGACTTTTCAGTGATATCTAAGTGGAGACTTAGTGGGGAAGGTTATATTAGCCTTGTCATTTTGAGAGGTGGAAAAACAGATGAGTGCACGTTTTATAAGTATTCTAGAAAAATAGGAAATGTACATATATGAATGTCAGTTTTACACAATGTCTCGCATCTGTTTTCTTAGACAGGCATCCAGCAGTCTGTATTGTACTTTCTCGCTATATTCAGAGTTTGGCCACTTTCATTTGTGGGCATGCTGGAGCTTGACAAAAGGGTAAGTTTATTGTCTTAGTAATGCTCTCCTCTCTAGTAATACCTGAAAGTAGATCAGTATTCCAAGCATTCCGTTGTCCTGAAACAATTAGCAATACTTATTTAAATTTAATATTAACATACCATCATTATTTTACTTCCAGTAGAGAGGGGCTATAGCTTAATGGTGGTTACATGCTTTCCATGCCGAAAGTCCCAGGTTCAGTTCCAGGCATCCCTCCTGAAAAGGCTCTTAAGATTGACTGTGAAATACATGGAAAGAAATTGAAAGCTACTGAGCAGTAGAACAGATGGTCCTTAACTAGATGGAAAATTCTGTGGTTTGGTAGAAAATAGCTCCTGACATCCTCATACTGACAATTCTTTAGGTCATATTTTGTTATGAGTTGATCAGATGCTGGAATCCTCAAGTGATCGCTTGACTAATGAGATTTTTTTCCCCCCTCAAACCAGATCTTTGGAAATAGTATGGCAGATGTTTCGGTATCTCATGAAATGCTGCTTGTAACACACAGCACAGGTCATGTCAGATTGTATAGCTTCCAGGCAATCTCTGAACGGGTAATAGCATACTATTACAATACTTTATTCGTTTTTTTAGTATCACTCTTATATGAGATTTTTAAGTGAATTTTAACTTTTGCCAGTGAGGGCATGTGGAGACAATTTACTATCCACCTAGCCACTAACCAAAAAGCATGTTTGGATCCAAATTGAAGAAAAGACATTTTTTAAAAAAACAAACAAACTATTTTTTAATCCTTTTCCTTTTTTTGGTTTTTATTATTTTTATTACATTTAAAGATTGCTTCATTTAATTGGGTTTCTTTTAGTGTATTTAAATGTTTTGTCAACATTTTGCATTTTTAGAAATAAATGCTTGGATCCAAGCCAATGCAGTGTAGAGAATATACATTTAATTTCATTGGCAATCTACTATTGAAGATCGTTTGACCATTTTAATTAAGAAACAAGGGTATAATTTGAAAATACAATTTGAGGTTGCAATCTCATGCATACAGTTATCCAGGAATAAATATAGGTAAATCTGCACAGATAAGATGCCTAACATTGATTAGAAATCAACATGGACCTCGCTTAGATGTGTATGTAAGCATTCAACTAGGTCATTATATATGTGCAATATAATTAATCAGATGTGATATTATTTTTAGTTCATGGAACACCAGGTGGATTTGGGACAGGAATACAGCTGGAATGGCAAAGTTGGGATTGTGGGAAAATACCCTTTTGGCATTCCGTGTAACATTAAAATAACAGGTATTTATAAAGGCTTACTGTTCATCAGCATAACTGGTTGATATTAGGTTTTGTTTAAAAATGCTAGCAATCCCAACTAGTATTGGTTTTATAATCTGGTGGTATTTTTAGATATTATGTTATTCATATTAGCTCTTTGAATTCAGTGACAATTGCTTCTAAGTAGGTGAATATAACATTGCAGCTGGTGAGATTGTGGTGTTAAAAATGGATACTTTTTAAAAAAAATTACACCGACTGACTAGAATATTAAGGTGATGCAGTATTCTGCCAGTTTCCCACAAGAAAGTCAATAGGAAGGAGGTCACAAGTTGCTCAGGTAAAGTACCCCCCCCCCGCCGCCCTTTCTTTGCTCACACCCATCAAATCCTCTTTCCCCCTTCACTCACTCACACCTCCCAGCATCCTCCTTCTACGGCCTCCCTGCACTTGAACACAAGCATGCATGCACCCTGTGCCCTCTTTCCTTGCCCTCCCTGCTTTCCCACATATACATGCTCACATCTCGTACCCTCTTTCTCTGGCTTCCGAGTTTGCACTGCACTTCAACAGCACCTTCTCCAACTTGCACGCCATCTGAACTAGGTTTCCCAGGACCTCTTCCCATTTTCGTGCTTCTTACCTTGGACTCCCTCCAACTCCCCACTTAACGACCTGTGTTTCTTGTAATTACAATCACAGCCAGAACTGCCTGGATTGCCATCACTAGGCAATGCAAGTCATGGGTTGTCATGCTTTACAGCTGCAACCCCCCTCCATCCCAGTTGCCACCAAAATTCAAGCACGACCCGCATATGATAAAACAGCAGCAATAAATAATCATAATAGAAAATTAGACAAGATTTAAATACCTATGGAAAATAAAAAGGTACCATGATTGAAAGGAACATAACATAGACACCAGGTGAATTCATCTGAGGGAAGTGCTGTAAAAATGGAGCACCGATGTGAAAAATGCCCCTCTTTGTATCCAGTTGCCCTCCCACAGCTGGAGAGGGTCTTTTCTAGACTTTGTAAGCTCATTCTACACTTTGAAGTGGTTTCAGAAACTTAGTGGCAAAGTTCTGGCATACTGTAACATTAGCCAAATCCAGTCAACAGTCTCTCTTCTGAACTGTTTTCATTGGGAGACTCATCTCCAATGCATGACTATAGCCCAAGCTGCCTACATTGGTTGTTTCGAAAAATATCATTTTCCAGGCTGTTTTCTCCATCAGTATGTGTTCATCTCTTCAACAGAAATTGTTTGCAATGTTTGTGTTAAGATAGTTATAAGGAGATAGAAGCAATGTGTAGCTTTCCAGATGTTACTAAACTCAGTTCCCATCAGTAGTAACTAGCTTGACAAAGGGTGAAGGATGCTGGGAGCTGTACCCCCACAGCATCTGAAGGGCTACATTTAGTTAATTTCTGTTATACAGTAATGCTTCTGTATAAGCTTCTGGTGTTCCATTATGTTTTTAGGAGGACAGTGTGTGTGTGAATGCAGTTTTTAAAAATATATATTTATATGTTTTTAACATGTGTTTACATATCACATACAATAGCAACTATTCTGACTGGATAGGGACAACTTTCGGGAAAATTCCATTGTTAAATAAGTTTCAGCGGCATTAGTTATTTACTTGAAAAGGATGCATTGAATACTGCAGAATTATGTCACTACTTCCGTTCTGTTTCAGAGTCCCTGGATTTTACCTACTGTACTAAGCTATAATATTGTTTTAGTTTGGCTTAATATGTTGCGTATGCCCACCACTGTATTTTATAAGCTTTGGTTTATGGCTTACCAGATTGCATGACTCAGGCCATTGTGGCTTCTTCAGCAAACCATTGTTTAACTAAGAGGTAGTCAACCTTGGCTCTTTTATGACTCGTTGACTATCCCTGGTTTAACTAAACAGAGCAAAGCACAAAACCCCACTTATAAAAATCTTTAATTTAAATCAGACACTACCGTCATTCTTCTGGAGTAAATGTGGCACAGTAGAATCAGAACAAAGCAGGACTTACAGCAATATATTTTTATTTTTGGATCTCAAGACTTCTTGAGAATTTTGTGTTTTCAGTAAAATTAAGAAACATAGCAAGATTTTACTTATATTTACATTTTTATTAAGCCAGATTATTTTTGCATTCAAATATAAACTTTTATTATTAATGGAAATATTGCTCTGTGCTTGGCAAAACATTTCTAACATTTTTGACCACAGACTTTGGGTTATCCAAAATTGTCATAATTAAAATCAATGAAGAAAACCTTCACATGAATATAGAACAGTTTTATATAGATTTAGCTGTCATGACTTCCCCCCAAAATGTAGAAGCAATAGAATAATGTGATGAAAATGTTTCAGATATGATCTATAATTAACTTAGTTGGTGGCTATAGTGCACATATGTCCAGATATCATAACTCCTTTTCCAATAAATAATTTTATATTGCTGTGTAATTTTTAGTATTTCTTTATAATACTTAAGGGAAATTGATTCCTTGTGCTGTTCATTAAGTTACTCAGATATTCATTTAAAGTTTTTCTAACTGAATGCAAAGTATCATGGTTTGTAATCATCACTGTATTATAAACTAGAGAACAATTTTTCTGCATGCAGTGCAAATTCAAGTTTTATTTTGATTGACAAGCGGAAGAACAAGTAAAATGATAATTTATTAATATTCACTTATTTTCGCAGACACTCCAGATCTTCTTTTTGAAGTCTCATCCCTCGAGAGCGCGTTTCAGATTGGAGGATATCCTTGGCATTATATCATTACACCTAACAAGAAAAGTCAAGAAGGAATCTTCCATGTTTGTTCTTTAAAAGACCACACTTTGGTAACATTATAATGCAACAAATTACATGTTTCCCTCAGGAATGATAGTAGAACTAAAATGTTAGCGTTTTCCTTGATAGTGCCTTTTATCAAACAGTTTTATTTAGCTTCACAATTTAATATTGAAAGTTAATGACCCTGCCAACAAAGTACATATAAAGGCCATGGTTTTCCCAGTTGCAATGTATGGCTGTGAAAGTTGGACCATAAGAAAGGCTGAGCACAAAAGAATTGAGGCCTTTGAACTATGGTGCTGGAGAAGACTCCTGTGAGTCCCCTGGACTGCAAGGTGATCAACTCAGTTAGTCCTAGAGGAGATCAATCTTGACTGCTCTTTAGAAGGCCAGATCCTGAAGTTGAAACTCAAGTACTTTGGCCACCTAATGAGAAGGAAGGACTCACTGGAAAAGAGCTTAATGCTGGGAAAGATTGAAGGCAATAGAAGAATGGGACGACAGAGAATGAGGTGGCTGGATGGAGTCACTGAAGCAGTAGGCGTGAGCTTAAATGGACTCCAGAAGATGATAGAGGACAGGAAGGCCTGAAGGAACGTTGTCCATGGGGTCGCGATGGGTCGGACACGACTTCACAACTAAGAACAACAACAAAAAAAATGACCATCATAATATTGAATGATTGGGCATGTACAAAATGATACATGATCAAGTTGAGGAATTTTTGAATTTCATTCTGAAAAACATCCTGAGGGGTGTATCCAAAAGCAAAGCAAACAAGGCCAACAGTTATGATTTTGATCTACGTTTCCCCTTCCCATCTGGAATCTATCTACTTATCCATATGTAGTGCATAAATAGGTCGCACAGAATTTAGTTGAGCGCATTCCTGGAAAAGCATGAGTGGCATTTTAATGCTAAAGAGAGAATTTAAATGTCACTTGATCTCATTCCAATTCAGAATTGCATTTTCAAATGATTATACCCTCTCCTTAGATAAATCATATAGAAATATTGCTTTCCGTTAAACTTCGATTTTAGTTCTTCAGATCTTTGCAGAACTCTCACTGCCCATGACAAAAACATCTGTTATACTTAAATCTAACCAATAAGGACTTTAAAGCTTAATGAATTTGGAACAGGACCAAGTGGGAGCAACGGTTCCTGAAGCGGAGCCAGCAAAACATTCTAAAAATTTTCAAGCATGGCAGAACACCAAAAAAGTCTAAATAAGAACTGACACAAATAAGTGAAGTTGTGGGTTTGGACTGGGAAAAGTTGTCAGGATTCCTAAAATGCGATAATCTATATGTATAACTCCAATAGCCTCTTTGAGAATATTGGGCTGTGCAGATGATAGACTTTCTCAGCTTTTGCTGTTTTCAGCATTAGTTTGGATTCAAATGTTTAACGTTTAATATTTAAATGTTAGTTTAGATTTAAATTTAAATCTAAAATTCTGTTGATTTAGGCAAAGAATGGCATACAGGATATGAAATGTTGTTCACTGGAACCTGACAGGATATCTTTCCACCCGGATAGTTCAGGAAGGATGCTACATGTGGGTCCAAATTTAATTAAGTAAGTGATTGCTGAAAACTACTTTCAATCAGGAAGAAAGTAATTTGCTAACTCTGGGCGGGATTGGCTGTTCAGATTGAATATCTGATCAACTAAAGCTAGGAGCTACACCATGGCGTTGGGGTGGGAATAGATGAATGAGAGCCACAGGTAATGAGGAACGGGCAAGCTATTCCAGGGTTTACATGATAGTTTAGATGACAAAAGTAGGTCTTTAAGGCCAGTAGGGTGAGGATAACTCTGTTTTGTTGCAGAAGAAGAGAGCCTTGACAGGAAAGGCTCTCTTTCTGGTCCTCCAGATAGCACTCTGTCATGGGTGCGACCAGATCACACCTATACTATTGCATCTAACAGGACAGATGGATTCCACTGGGAAGAGACAGTCCCATAAATCAGGGCTTTTCAACCAGTGGTATGGGTACCACCTGTGGCACATTGGCACCTGGCAGGTGGTACGCGACCATCCTAGAAAAATGGTAGCAGGGGAGGGGAATGAGCTGAACCGGTGGCAGCACTGCACAAGCCTGAGCGAGAGATGGCTGGAGCTGCAGGGCTGTCAGGGCTCAGCGGACGCGCCAGGATCAGCACTTCTTCGGGGCTGTCAGGGCTCAGTGGAAGTACCAGGATCAGCACCAGGCTCCAGCTGGAGCTCGGCGCTGATCCTGGCACTTCTGCTAAGCCCAGAAGAAGCGCCAATCAGCTGGAATGTTGCAGCATCTCCAGGGTCTTGTGATTTACACTGAGATGCTTGGCAACTGATTCATATTTATGATGGTCACAGTGTCCCAGGGTCATGTGAAGTGACCAAAACCTGCTGCAACCACCCAGCAGGCGGGGGGAATAAAAACCAACCACCACCCCCAACCACCCCCCTGTCAATCCTCAATAGAAATTCTCATAAGAATGAAAACCTCAAAGAGGAGGAGGAGTGCAGCCAGGTAGGCAAGCAGATGTCTTGCTCGGTTGTGGCTTGGGGGGCACTTTTTTCAGTGCCGTTGTAACTTCGAACAGTCACTAAGCGAACTGTTGTAAGTTGAGGACCACCTGTACTTTATCACTCCCCCCCCCTTTTTTTTTGGTCATCAAGTTTTTGACACCTTGCTAGGCAACTGGTGGTACTCGGATATTGCCATATCCTAAAAGTGGTACAATGGGTGAAAAGGTTGAAAAACCCTGCCATAAATAACTTGGTCCCAAGTCATATGAAAAATAGTCGTCATTTTTTTCATTTTTTGTAACTTTGAATAGTCACTAAACAAATGGTTGTAAGCTGAGGACTATTTGTATGCTATTATGTATGCTATTCTGAGGAAGCACCTAGCTCTTTTTGGGGGGGGGGAGCAGTGTTTGGCTCCATCATGCAGTAGTTCAGTGGTTCTCAACCTGTGGGTCGGGACCCCATTTGGGGTCAAACGACCATTTCACGGGGGTCGCCAAACAAGGCTGTCTGCCATTTTTCCCCCTTTTCTTTGGCCACGCCCCTGGCACCCGGTGATGTATAAGTGGTTGGGGGTCACCACAACATGGGGAACTGTATTATGGGGTCGCAGCATTAGAAAGGTTGAGAACCACTGCAGTAGTTTGTTCAAACAACCACAACTTCATTTTCTATAAGGAATAGAAGCAGTAAGATTGGTATTTGGGGGGAGGGGAGGGAAAGCACTTTCAGCTTTCCCCATTCGTGTGAATGTGATCCCTATGGGGTTTCTCTCTCTACAGAGTTCTGAAGTTGAAGGAAACTGAAAGTGCCAAGCAGCAAGAAGTTACGGAAGATTTTATCATAGAAGCCAACAGGGAAAATGATGTGAGATTATAAAAAGAAAACTGGCTGAAATCATTATTCTTTGAGGAAAACATAATTCATTGGGAGAGTTCCTGTTCCTGAGGCCCGAGTCAAACATTACATATAAAATAATGGCTTATTAAGTAGATGATAGTTGGCTGGATTCATAAAACATGTTAAGCACAAACCAAAGCCTCCTCGCCATAATGGTTGTCCTTTGAGTTCCTCCTGCTAAAAGATAAATTGGACAGGAGATGTAACATATCAGAAGAATTGGGGAAAAAAATCATCTTGCAGCTATATTTTCTGTTTTCTGCAGGGTGATTTTTTTTTTTTTCATTTCTCAGTTAAAGGTAGAAACTGTGTTCAAATGCTCAGTTAGTGTTGTCCTTAGTTGCTCATTTATCAAAATAACACAAAAACCCTCTCTCCGTATTTTTAATATCAAAGGTGAACAATTCTGTAACAGTAACAGCATCTGGCCGAATAGTGAAGAAGCGTTTTGAATTATTGGATGATGATCCTGAGCAAGAGGTAAGTTAAGTTTGGAGATAGTTGGCAGACATTTGATCCTGAATAAGGCAGTCAGAGAAATGACCCATGTTGGCTGGGTAGAGTTTCCATATGCCTACAAAACGTTTTATGTTTGTATGCCATAATTTCTTAACCGATATATCCAGGAATATGTTGGGGATTGCTCTTTTTTGCGGGAGAAACAGATAAAGCAAGCATTTTTATGTTATTGTTGACCTTTGATCTATGCGGAATCTTTCTGTGAATTATTATTGTGTTAATAGGACTTAATGAATAAGCTCTAGAAATTTAAGCTGAGTTACAGCCTTTAGGAATCCTGGAAAGAGATGTGAGGAATTAACTTGGTTGTTGATTATCCACTTAATCTCGCTAGGTCTTGCCGGACACCAATTCTATGCTGTTGAAGAGCATGCAGGTCACACAAAAAATGATAAATAATGCAAAGAAAACAGTTGAGATCTGAGCTGAGCAATGTGTCCCTACATCATTAGCAATGTATTTTTGGAAACCATTTTTCACTTTCTATTAGGAACTGTAACCGAGATGACACAGCCACAAGAATTCTAATTCCTCAGCTTCTGGAAACCATTTCCAGCCTTGTTTCCATGGAAATGAATATAGTTGGGGAGTGAAAATATGGCAAGAACTGTTTGAGGCTTTTAAAATCCGTAATTCATTTATATTCAATTACTAAATTTAAAAAAGAGATCACAGAAAAGCAAGACCCCAAGTTTTGCCCAAAGCATACCTTTTCTTTGGTTTTACAGCCTTAAATTATGTTTTACAGAAGGAAGTTATTTAAAATCCTTGCCTGTTTTTAATTGGGGGACATAAATGCAAATATTTCTTCAGTCCACTTAAGAATTTAGACATTTTTGTCCCCCCCAACAACTCATTTAGGCATCCCGTGTTTTAAGGTTTATTTTAGAATAAATCTTAAAACATGGGATGCCTAAATGGATTGTCTGTGTGGTGATTTCATTGTAACAGTTATGTACAGTATTTATTTGGGTAGTTGCTGCACTGTTGTTTTTCCCAAAACATCTCTCAATATCTTAAGCTACAGAGGAATGTACATTGCAAATCAAATCCTGAGAATGTCAGTGGTTCTGTACCCATCTGTTACTTAAGTTGATTGTAAATGTTATCACACATATATTAAAGGAACCAATGTGAATTAGAAGTAGAGAGATCTATGATCTATCCCACGCTTAGCCATTGGAAGCTCACTGACTTCAGCTGCTGAATTGTCAGGATGCAGATTCACTAAATAAACTTGATAATGTACAAGTAGCTCAGATGAGTATGGCCTTGTTCATTGAAATGGAGAGAGCCTACCTGCACTCATTTTGCCTTTCTACACACAGAATGCTTACAGTAAGGCCACTGGAACTGCTATTTGAGTTACTAAAGTCAACTGTAGAAATAATGCATCCTTCCAGAGAACTCAAGTAAACTGGACTGAAAATGTAGACTATGACCAGATGAATGAGAGTAAGCTTTTAAACATTTAGGGAACTTTTCCTTGTTTTTATGTTTTAAATTTTGCATTGAAAATAGAAGATACTTTAAAATGTGACTAATGTGCCCACTGATGTTTTTTTTTTTTTAATGGCAAGACATTCAAAATTGTTGACTATGAAGATGAACTGAACTTGCTATCAGTTGTGGCTGTTACTCAGATAGGACTTCATGGGGCAGCTCATCTTGACTTCCATTGTAATGAGCAGGGTATTCAGTTGAAGAGTTTTCCTTTTGTGGAGTCCTGGGATGTGGTAAGTGTAATTTAGGATTTCCTACTAATGTTCCTACTATCAACGTGCTACTGTAATTTAGCTCTAATGACGTGATACTGTTGAGCCATTCAAATGCTAAAGATAAAAATTACCAAGAAGTGGGATAAGTTATAAAGGAGTTATAGAAAGATAATAATGCAGCAATCTGGAAGTACCCCCAATGCATTCCTGTTAGATGCATCTGATTTCTTTCCAGAGCTAAGTTTTGTAGATTTAAATTGGCTGGTTGTTTTGAAACTATGAGATACACACTTCCCTCCAAAGAAGCTTTGCAATTTAAAAATAAGCTTTAAATATCTCTGTAAGTTGAAGGACAGGTGTTTTTGATAATTGGATAAATGTATAAATGGCATTTATTTTTTTAAAGGCCCCCAGTCTGAAGAAAAGGGCAAAATGTGCTTTTAAAGATTTAATGTGGAAAATAAATATGTCCACAGCTGAAATTCAGACAAAAGATGGACTTACGATTATTCCAGTTCTTGTACAGTATATATATGTTATTGGCAATGTGTGAAAAGATGGCATTGTATAGAATGCCTAAGAAATCTATAGAATCTGAGACATTTTTAGGTGAAGTATGAAATGTCTGTGTTATTTTAATATGCTATACACTGTCCTAGGTATTGTATATAATACCTAGGCATTATGCAGAATGACAAGGACTATTTAGGCAAAGTATGAAAAAAGAGAGTCAAGAAAAGGGTTAGGGTTAGAGTTCAGGGTGAAGCTAACACTAGCACTTTATTGTAAAGACATATATGAAAATGAAAGAACGCTACCATAGAAGATCCAGTAACTTACCAATAATCTGGAAGGTGTTAAATGTTTTATCACCACAAAGAGTTTACGTGTCATATAGGTACATTCTCACCATCACTTGAAGTGAAAATTATGTTTTGTTCTCTTAATGCAGACATACAGCCATGAAGTTCACTTTGATAGACATATAGTGCTGCACATACAACAAAAACCCCACAGGATGTTCAGCTGTCACGTATACCAGATGACCTGCAATAGTGAAAAAAATGATAATATACAGAAAGGCAAAAGAAGAGCATGTGCTTGGTCAAAAACTGGGGGGAGATACTGAATATTTTTAGAATTCACCTTAATTTGGAGACTTTGCTGTGGACAGTATCTAAAGATGTGCAAATCTCTTTTTATGCAATGTAATAGTACTAACTGTTATTCTTCTTTGTATAAATGTAATTTTTTTAAACTGCTTTTCAGCCTTTGGGCTAAGATCAAATGTACTGTAGTACAAATTATTTTAAATATTTATTTTAAAACACACCTAAGTAGCAAAATTGTAATTGCCACAGATGTATATATTTTTTTCTAAAATATAGCTCTTTTGGATTAATTAATATTGCTGGGAGAATTGTGCGGAATGTAAATTCAAACTACATTGTTGCTGTCATTAAAAAACTTGGAATTTAAATCATGTTTAAATTCTATTCTATATGGAGCAAATAATACTCTTCAGTTAGGTAGGGGCTTAATCATGATTATCTATGCCCTGCTACAGCTAGACACTGTATAAACACTAACTGACAGGGTTGTATTTCTTCTAACTGGCAGAGGGGGAACTCACTTTAGTTCTTCTGTCAGCAGATAACTGATCACTTGCCAGTCATCTGAAGAAGATTGTCAAATGGGATTCTCTTTAGAAGTAATACTGTGTGCAGCAGTCCACTACTAAATGCCTTGGGACGAGGGGGTTTGCTATTTTACAGTTATGCAGAAATAGATTGGAGTAAAGACTTAATAAATTGGCTGTTCATCCTCCTGCTGCATGATTTTGCCAATATTATGTCTGTCCATTCCCAGGTATCTTGTTTTGGGAATTTCCGGTTTTTAGCTTCTTTCCTTTTAAAAGAAAAAAAAAATCACTTCTGAAAAATGTTCCTGAAAATTAATTATGTTTGATTTCCGCCCTACTGTCAGTGTTTTACTGAAAGATGTTCATTTATGTTAGAACACGTAAAACATTCTCATTCATTTTAATATCCTGGCATTCTGGTACTGAAAATAAATATTTCTTAATAGTTATACTCCTATGATTTGCTTTATACAAAAAATTGTGCAAACTTAGTCATTACATATTGGTTTAGTATAGTAGATACATCACAAAATGGTATTGGTAGTGATACTACAATAACTATTGAATTTAATTTAATTTAATTTTCAAATAGAAAAATACGACTTTCTACTTATAGATTTATAAATTATTTAAACTTTACCCTGCCTTTTGGATTTTTATAAATAACTCAAGAATGGCAAACATACCTAATACTCCTTCCTCTTCCTATTTTCCGGTCAACAACAGCCTTGTGAGGTGAGTGGGTTGAGAGAGTATAACTGGCCTAATGTCACCCAGCCTAAAGCAATTCATGCCTAAAGCAGGACTAGAACTTAGTCAGCTGGCTTTTAGCCTAGTGCCTTAACGACTAGACCAACTGGCTTTCTTCCTCTTTCTCTTCTAATAACTAGAAAGATCAGAATGAAATCTATACGGAGCACCTTTATTATAACCTGCTCATCTTAAAATGAAGGAGAATTGCTAATGAATAGAAGAATAAAAAATGTGTAATGCTATGCTAATTTATTATTTTTATCAACTCAAAATAACTATTTAAACATGCCGGTGGCAGAGGAGTCAGTTGTGGAATAATCTATCCTGCGACTCTGCTCGATGCATTTTGTGGTTCTTACTGCATAATCATACCCTTTTGGAATCAGAAGCCTACATTTTACATTTTGGAAATTCATTGCTATACGTCAAGCTATACATGCCTCTGGCTGTGTGACTTGGCTACATTTGCCTTCCTATCTGTCTCAGCCAATGCAAATGAGAAGTAATTTGAAAATCATATTTTTAAATTATTCATTATGCTCAACAGTTAAGTAATATGAGAGAAACAAAGAAATACCAAAAGCTTCAATATGATCTCTGGGGAGAAAAACTATACTTCAGTTTGGGAAAGGACCAAGAAAATAAATTATGTTTAATTATTTACAGAAAAACTCCACAAACAGTTTAAAAATAGATAGCCAAAGCAGAGGAGATTTTGTTTCCTCGTTAAATATCTGTTTAGGGATAGAACATAATATTCTATTCAGGATGTAGAAAAAGGAATTTAGAAATTGACTTTATGAGAAGGTTAAACTTTACTCTAACAATCAGAATGTACTGTCAACAGCAACAATAAAACTAATAGGAAAATTAGTTTATTACCCTAGAAAAATGCCTTATATTAGCAATATACGCAAAGTTGTTGAGAAAAATGGGCTTCAACTAATGAAAAAGAAACCCACCAATGCTTGGAACATGTATTATTCCATGACTAAATTAAAAAGACAACAAGTTTGCTTATTACGTAAGTCCAAAAATTATTAATACCTAATAGTTGTCAGCAGTTTTTTCTAAAAAAAAAAAAAAAAAAAAGGTGCCAAAACTCACACACATCATACAACCCACCTTGCCTACCCAGGCCTTGCCGGGCGCGACACAAGGTTCCATCCAAAAAAAGGTGCCGGAACTCCGTTCTGGGCGTTCTATGAGAAAAAAAGCCCTGGTTGTCAGCAAAGCAAAAGAAGAAAGAAAGACTGCAGAACTAAAGCTACTTTTATTAGAACAGCTATAGGAACAGAATTTTGCAAGTCTGGATGTGCTTTCTTCTCTCTTGTCTTTTATCTTCATGAGAATTGGAAGGAGGCTGCCTGAGATGTTTGTGCAAAGTACTTTCGTGGTCTGGACCAGAGGTCTTCAAACTTGGCCCTTTTATGCCTTCTGGACTTCAACTCCCAGAATTCCTCAGCCAGGCACTCTGGCTGAGGAGTTAAAGTCCACAAGTCATAAAAGGGCCAAGTTTAAAGACCCCTGGTCTGGATTCAATCTGATCATTGCCTTAGTGGTTGATAAGCCCTTTGGCCTCCAAGGGCATCCTCTTTATTCACTACAATGGTGAAATCCTGATAGAACATTAAATAACTGTGCAGTCCCTCTAATTAGATATACCAAAGGGATAATTAATTGGACCCAAGCTGAAATGGATACCCTTAGTTCAGTAGTTCTCAACCTTTTTAATGCCGCGACCCCCAACCGGTCATAAGTCAAGGACTACTCAACTGGTGCAGCACTGTTTGCAGAATGGGACTTTTGGTGGGCTCAGCAGGGCAGAGACAGCCTGGACAATTCCTATTGGCTTTCGAAAGCCAATAGAATTAGACTCTATTAAAGAGAGTATATTCTATTGGCTTTCAAAAGCCAATAGAATAAAAGGGAGTAGCACAGCTAAGGAAAAGGGGGGAAAAATGGCGGACTGCATTGTTTGGCGACCCCCATGAAATGGTCGTTCGACCCCAAATGGGGTCCCGACCCACAGGTTGAGAACCACTGCCTTAGTTGGAAAACTAGAAAACTAATGACCACATGTCATGTGCTTTACCCAATAAAGAAAATTAAAGAGGCTCTGCTTGCGAAAGATTGTAAGGAAAGGCTCCTAAAGACAAAATCTAAACTGGGATAAAAAAATTAATGTCAAAGTCAAATTAATACCTGGAAAAGGGAGCCAATTTACATCTAAATATTGAGTTCATTGACTCTAAGGTCCCTGGAGATTTGATCCCACTTTCACTTCCTTGTAACTTTCTACTAGGAAAGGGTCAGTCTTCCTAATTTATATATAATTAAAGTGGGAGTTAGAATTGTTTCTGAATGTTCCAGCATTTTGGCTGTAGCTGCATTAAAGACCTTAGCAAAGAATTCAGCCAGGGGAAAAAGTAGTTAGAGATAAGCAGGGCTTTTTTTCTCACAGAACACCCAGAACAGAGTTCCGGCACCTTTTTTATATGACACACGTCATACAACCTGCAAGGTGGGTTGCATGATGTGTGTGAGTTCCGGCATCTTTTTTTTTTTTTTACAAAAAAAGCACTGGAGATAAGTTAGATTCCTAAATTTATCAATACTTTTGATGTTACATGTTGGCATGCATAACTTCCTTAGCATAAAACCTGCCTTGTAATGTCCCCTTTGGTACTAAAAATTTGCATCAAGATTAACATGAGCTTTATTTCACTTCTATCATTAATTGGGGCTTGATTGGACCCCTACATACAGAGGAAGAGATAATGTGATCCTCAACCACCTTGCTAAATCATGATGTTGAGGAAATGCTAATATAAGCAGCCTCTGCTTATCTGTGAACAAGTAATCTGTAACTAAACAAACTATAAATGGTTTCTATCTTATGTAAACCAGAAACACTTCATATTCCTCCTGGAGAAAAGCCATGGTTTGTTTTAGTAATCTTTGTTTTGTTTTGAACAAATCAGAATCCCTGGCTTTCCTCATACCATAAAATCCTTGTTCACAGACATATCGATTTTTTTTAACTCAAAACATTGCTTACTTGCTATTAAGTAAAAAACATTATTATCGTTCTGAATATCACCACAAATTATATTATTCTGCTATGCAGAAAACAAGAGGAAGAAAATTGGTCTGGAGAGAGTGGAAAATAGAAATTATTTGCAAAACGTATAAGACCAAATATACTTCAATAGAATAATGAAACAAAGTTACGTAAAATGTAATACTATAAAACAGTGGTTCTCAACCTGTGGGTCGGGACCCCATTTGGGGTCGAACGACCATTTCACGGGGGTCGCCAAACCACGCTGTCCGCCATTTTTTTCCCTTTTCCCTAGATGTCCTACTCCCTCTTATTGGTGGCCACACCCACTTGGGGGTCACCACAACATGGGGAACTGTATTATGGGGTCACGGCTTTAGAAAGGTTGAGAACCACTGCTATAAAAGGTCTTGCAATTGACTTGCAAAAATTGTATTTGTAGAAATCACTCTAATTAGAGGACTAAACAAGAAGAAACCAAAGTCCCAAGTTATTTTTAAGGCACTGAGATAGTGAATATGTGACATCAAATCATTTTCAACTCTTAATGGCCACATAGATAGGACCACACAGATTCTCCATGATGATCTATCATTAACCTTTTCTTTCACGTCCCCCAACAATGTACTCATCCCCTCTGTGGTTGAGTCTATCCACCTTGTCCTCTTCTCTTTCCTTCTATGTTTCCTAGCATTATAGCCTTTTCCAGAGAGTGGGTCTTCATATAGTGTATTGGAATTTGTGCCTTGAGTAAAAATTAGGGGTTAATTTGCTCAATCAGTTTGTTTTCTTGGCTGTTCACAGAATGCTCAGGAGTATTCTCCAATACCAAAGTTCAAAGCACTGATAATCTTCCTATGCTGCTTTTTTAAAATCCAACTTTCACTTCCATTGAGGGTCCATAGATATAGCAGTAGAAAAAAAAATACATTCCAGAATCCAAAGCAATTCCTAGTGAAGCAGAATCTGGTTGGATCCTGAAATCACTTTGTCCTCATTCAGGGAATAGAAATAGACAATATGGTTCCAGGATCCAATTTTGTACCTCTTAAGAACTGTACTGAATCCTGAAACTTAGATCCAACAGAAGGTGTTAATCTTTTTGTTGATTTTGTAAGAGAACTCTTGTTAATACTACTGCCTAAGCCACTCTTTGAAGTTAAAAACTGGTTGGAAGCCATGTTTTAATGAAATGGCAACAGCTGTGTTCTCTGTTGGAAATACATTTAACTGTAATCCTGTCTACGGAGCAAGCCTAAACCATATAGTGTTTGTATCGTGCTAGTAATGTAAGTACGCATAATTTATGTTTACATTTTTTCATTACAGTTTTGCAACTTTTTTTCTATTGCTGACTGATTAACAGTTGCCTTTTAATTTATTTCAAGATAAAGGTTTGGACAGCTTAGAATGTCTATGCTTTCAGTGAAGGCCTAACTTTTGGCTGACATATTTTTTTACCATTCTATTAAAAGGGATGTTTTGTTTAATTTTCACTTTGGGACTTGTATTTTTCACTAATCTGTGAATATAGTTAGGTTTCTTTCCTGCGCAATCATATCCAGCAATCACAAATTATATTAAATGGAGAAAGCTAATTTGAAAAGAAGGGATGGAGAAAGATACATCCTAAGAAAGTTGAGGTAAAAAAAAGATGAGTGCAAACTCCTGGTTTGGGGTGAGAATCAGAGTCTGAGGTTGTCTGAAATTGGTTAAGTCTCTCTCTTTCAATGTTCTACAATCTCTCCTTTAAAAGTTTCCACCTCTATTAACATCAGTCTTACTTCTGCTCTTATTTTTTGCTAGATTTACCTTTCCATGTTCTGAAGGACTACCTTGTTTTTTATTAGGGGCTTATTTCTTTTTCACTCTAATGATGCAACCGGACTTTTTGACGGGCCTCTAAATTTAATGTCATGCATATTTGAAGTTTTAAACTAAAATATTCTTCAACCTCCTTAAATATCTTGTGCTACTCATAATAATTTTATGAAGTCATATACATTACGCACTTAAATTTGTATATATATTTTAATTTTTAACTATCTCTTTCACTCCCAAAAGTCTGGATGACTATTATAAAGTTAAAAGAGATTTTTATTTTATGCTTTTAACTATCAGCCCAGTTTAAAAACAACCTTAAGAATAAAAACTAATATACTATCCACAGGCCTGGAACACATCCAGAGGGCTCCTGGAATCCCGAGAGTGGGTGCTATAGATATCGCTGAGGGATATGGTTCCCTCTCTCAACAATACAAAAGGCACAATTCATTGGTCCCCAAAATGATGTTTAATTGAAGGGACCTAAAGCACACTCACTCTACCTGAACGTACCTGGTGGAGAGAAACAGAGATAGGCAGTCCTTCAGATAACAGGCCCTAGATCACAAAGGGTTTTATAGATAACAATTAGTATCTTGAATTGCACCAGAAGCCAAATGGCAGCCAATACAGCTCACATAGCAGTAATGACACATTGGCATAAGAAGTGTCTGCTACTGCTCTTGCTGCTGCATTTTGGACAAACTGTAACTTTTGGTCTTGGCAGCCCTGGATAAAAACACTGCAATAATCCAATTGTGAGTTGATCAGAACATGAGTGACTGTCTGAAGGGTCTTCTGGTTGAGGAAAGGGGACATGTAATGCACAAGACGAACCTGTGCAAAGACCCTCCTGGTCATGGTTGCCATCTTCTCCATTTTGCCATTTTAAAGCTTTCCTCTTATATTTAGGTAGGGAGGTGGGTTGCAGCACTTATGTTCTCACAATAGAATTCCAACCTTATAGTTAAGTAGGGAGGTAGATTGCAGCCATTTTGTTCTCACAACAGAACTCCAACTTTCTGGGGGGGGGGGGAGATAGGAGTGAAACTATCATTAGCATGTATCTAATTTTTTTCTGCAAAAAAAATCAAAAGAGGAAAAAAAAGATGTTGCACTAAATGTTTCTGTCTTTTTGTAGAGGCTTAGATGGATGAAACTCAGCATCTCATCTATATCCACTGATTCAACCCTAAATACCTTACTAAACATCTAGGCCAGTGGTGGTGAACCTATGGCAAGTGTGCCAGTGACGGCACTCAGAGCCTTCTCTTTGGGCACGTGCACCATTGCCCCAGTCCTGCCTCCCCCCCCACGGCCCCCTCACCAGCAGCCCACCTTGAGGAGATTCTCCGAGCATGGCCCCATGAAGCAGCATAGCCAACGTCATGGTAGCCAGGCAGTGGGGACAAGACTCTGCCCTCATGACCCATCGTGCGTAGTTGATGCTGGGGGGCGTGGGCAGAGGGTGTGGCCACCATGGCACTGCTGGGCCACCTGGGCGATCTGCGGTGGGTTATGGAGGTGGTGAGTGGCCCTGTGGGTGGGCGGGGACGGAGTGGGGGACGGTTGGAGGGGGCAGAGCAGAGCAGGGGTGGGTTTTGGGCACCCAGTCTCTAAAAGGTTCGCCATCACTCACCTAGGCTTTTCTTTGGCAGGATTCACACAAACTCACATTCTCAAGTGAAATAACACCATGATTTGCTTGATTCAATTCTTGGAAGTTGAACAAATCAGAAGTGTTTCCATTATATAGGTTGGATTCACATAACAGTTTAGCTAAGATGTGGTTATTCTTTGGTTCAGTTTGTCATATAAACACAGATGATATGAATTAATCTAAAACCTATACTTTGTTTACTTTTTGTAAACAGCTAAAATTATTCTGACATAAATGACAAATAAACGGATGGGAACGAAAGAATACAGAAAAATTGACAGATATTTGGGGATCCAAGAATGAGGGACAATAGTGATTGTTTTGTGAATATCTGCTTAGAAAAAGCACTCCTTTCACTTATCACTTTAAGCATATACACAGACACTAAAGGGATGAATATGCAGTTGAAAACACAACTGATTTAATAAGAAAAAAGAATTAGTGATGGATAGAAAGGGATGATAGATTCTCAGAGTAAAACAGACCAGTTTCTGGTAGGGTTAAGAGTGAAAAAGAGAGAAATGGTTGGAAAGAAATGAGAGTGAAAGTAGAACGGCAGGAGAAAAGTGTGAAACTATAAAAGGTATTAGAAGGCAAATTACTATCACAAAAGAATGAGTGGAATGTAGACAAAAAAAGGACACGGAAACTGTTTGGAACAGAATGAAAACAATGTTATAGAATGCCAAGAAGTGTTTTTGAGTTGCACTAATGGAAAATTTGAAAAAGGATTTTTGGTAGAATGACTGAAATAAAATAAAAAGAATGATTGCTGCAAAAAATTAGGATGACAGACAGAAATCTAATAAATATGGTTGCAAACAATATATTTAAACAGAACAAAGACTTGAGATTAAAAGAGAGAAAACAATGTAGGTAGAAATAAATGTTTTGGAAATAGATGAAATGGTTATACAAAAGAGCTTCCTGCAGAGTGACTGAAATTAAAAATGAAAGTGAGGATATAATTTGGAATGAAACTGGAATGAGGAAATGTTGGAAGGTATTCTTTTAAAAATTTGTAAAAAAAATTAAAGATTTAAAAAATGGCATTGAAATGAATACTATAAACGCTAGTATCCAATAAAACATTAATGAAAAACCAATTATAATTGCTATAAAAATATTGAAAAGGGTAAAAGTTATATGCCTTGAGAAATGACAAAATACATATGTGGTTGGCTTACAAAGTGGCAATATGACTTATTCAGTGTGTGAAGATTGCATTTGTACCTGATGCTTGGAATAATGACTTTGAGGAATTTTTCTAAATGGAAAAGGTAACAAGCATAAATGCAAAAACAGTATAGGGGAATCAGCTTCTTAATGTGCTCAGAAAAGTGTCTGACAGAAAGGTATCAAAGAGCAAAGTCTGAAAAATGTAGGCAAAGGGGTTTGCTTAGCAAGTAATTCAACATTGTGCATGGAATACGTCAAGCATGATGTTTACAGAATAATGTGGAGCTGGAAGGGGCCTTGTAGATAATCTAGTTCAGGGGTCCCCAACCCCCGGTCCATGGATCAATACCGGGCCGAAGCATGCCAGCAACCGGACTGCACATGACAAGCAAAGCTCCATTCACAAGATGCAGGCAGCATGCAAAACCACACCTCTGGTCTGCAAAAAAAACTTTCTCTACCGAATCGATCCCTGGTGCCCAAAAGGTTGGAGACCTCTGATCTAGTCCAACCCCCTGCTGAAGCAGGAGACCCTATACCAGAGGTCCCCACAGACCAGGGGTTGGGGACCCCAGCCCTATACTATTACTGACAAGTGGTGGTCCAGTCTTTTTTTAAAAGATTCCAGTGATGGGGCATCCACAACTTCTGAAGGAAAGCCTTTCCACTGGTTAATTGTTCTCATCACTGTTAGGAAATTTCTTAGTTCTAGGTTGATTCTCTCCTTGATCAGTTTCCATCCACTGTTCCTTGTCTGGCCTTCAGGTATTCTGGAAAATAAGTTGTCCCCCTCCTCTCTGTGACAGCCCCTCAAATATTCATATTCCCTTGTTTATAATTTATGGAGAAATGCTTGTGGTGAGGCCAAAGGTATGTTTGGTTTGGACAGGAATTTGTGCACAGATGCTATGCTGATTAAGCATCAAAGTGATTTCAAGCAGATATTGGACTGTATACTACAGCAAGGGGTATGAATCTGATATTAATGTATCAAAGACCAAGATGGTTGTGCCTGATAGGAAAAATGGCGTGAACAATTGCAAATTATATATAAATAGCAAACAGCTAGAGCAGACATGTCAAACACAATGCCCGGGGGCCAGATGCAGCCCACAAAGTGGTTTCATGTGGCTCGTGAAGCCATCCTGGAAACAGTGAGGGAATGGCCCCCACTGCCTTGGCCCTGACCCAGGCCAGCCAGGAGCCAATGTACAATTTTGTGATGGCCATCTATGCTGAAACGCATTCAGTCTTAGCTCCACAAGGCCGTGAGGAACCAGCCCCTGCCGCGTCGGCCCCGCCCCCTAGGTGCATGCTGGGGAGGTGTCACCCTTTGTGAGGAATGAAGAAATGGACCATGCCTTGGCGCTTGCCCCGGTCCCACCCCCTTCTGCCAGAGACCCTCAGATCTGTCCCACTCCTGCCCAGGCCCCACAGGCACCCTTGACACGAATGATGTAGAGCTGGCCACGCACACTCCATCCATGCCCACCCATTAGCTGCACCCACTCTGGCCTCACCCACCCAGCCCCCAAGGGCAACTGCAATGCTGATGCGGCCCTCAATGAAACTGAGTTTGACACCCGAGCTACAGCAAGCTGGTTAAAATGTATATTAATATTGACTAAAGACTGAAAGAAAATAAAACATTTTTAAGGATAGTTCAAATGATCATAAAAAGAGGTACTTTATAGTCTGTTGCAAAGAATGTTTGTCAAGTGAACAAAAATGACTCTGTAAAAGGGTGTACTGCTGCCTCTTTGTTATATGAAGAGATGGCTTATATGAAGAGAAAGAAAAAAACTAAGTTGAATGCACAGGGTTGGATTACAGGTGTGTATCTGTTAAAATAAGCTGTAAAAATGAATTAATGTGGAATGTAGGTGAATTGAATATAAAAGTTAAGAGATTAGTAGAAAAGGCATATAGTATGCTAAATTAATTTGGTCAGATAAGTGAGGAGTGAATGAGAATGGGGCAGGCTGAGATGAAGTAGAAAATTGAAATAATGGCTGGGATTGATGAGATACTTACAAAGGAAAAAAGTGCTAAGATTAAAGAGTAAAATATAATGTATGAATGAGAAGGAAACAAGGATACAAAGGCTTTAAAAAGTATAGCAAGCTCTGCTGGTGTAAACCAGATTTTTCCTTTTCATGTTTTTTAATTTCAAGCTCTTTATTCTTAGGCTTATTATTTAACTCTTTTTCTGTGTTCGGAATACTAATGTTCACCCCAAAAGGGAACAGTATGGTATGTATATTTGTACATACGTGCACAGTGAAGAGGGCCAAGTTTGGGCCCTAATCCTATACCGAATACTTACAAGGAGGTATTCTGGCTATATGCCAGAAGAATATAAGGGCAGAAATAGCATCACAGGAAAGGCTGATGAGTCTGCATCAGAAGGTAGATAGCACAAGGAAAAACAGTATAATATCACCAGTAGGCCCCATAACTTTCATGCTGCATCTAGTGCAAAAAATAAATATGGTAGCTTAGAAGAACTTTAAAATGAATGCAAATACAGTCTTTTGGCACTGACAATCTACAACTCTCACAGGATACGGGGGAATCCAGTCACCGAGAGTTCCCTATGGGGGGGAGGAGATCGGTGGGTCTTTGAAGCCGAAATCCAAACAGCACCCAAAATAAGCCTCCTTCACCGCCCCTTGGGCTTACTTACTCAATAGGCTTGATCTTAACGCAGCTGTTGCTGCTTTCAGGCTACCAATATTCGCGCAGGCAGCCTCCGAAACAAACAAACGAGCAAAAAAGCCCTAATTATTCTTAAAGGAAAAGCATTTAGGAGCGCAAACTTTTGACTTCAGTTTATTTCGGGTCCGAGGAGAAAAGGAGGCGCCGAAAGAAGCAGCGGACCGGGCCTTGAACGTCCCTGCCCCCTTCTCGTGATTCTCCAGGCCGGTCCAAGAGGGGAGGGAATCCGCGCTTTCTCTCACACCCCTTTCTTTCCCTCCAGGGGACGAAAGAAGAGGAAGCCGCGACACGCCGAGCCGTCCGTCTCCCGTCTCCGCCCCGCTCTCGAATTTGTTTGGATCCCCTGCAGTTACGTCGTGGTGTGGAGGGAGATGGAGGGCTTCAAGCTCTTTCTGGCGTTCTTCGCGTCCGCGCTGCTGCTCGGCTTCCTCTCCGTCGTCTTCGCCCTGGTCTGGGTTCTCCACTACCGCGAAGGGCTCGCCTGGAACGGAGACTTGGCCGAGTTCAATTGGCACCCGGTCCTCATCATCACGGGCTTCGTGTTCATCCAAGGGATCGGTGCGTAAGGAGGCGGGGGGGGGCGGTGGCAGCCGAGAGAGATCGGGGCCGGGGATGAGATCACGAGAATAGGCTAGTGGGCTTTTTTTTCCCCCTGCAAACGCGACAGCACACGTAGAAGCGAACTTCCACAGCACATGGGTCCCTTCTGTCCCGTTGGGGCTGGCTTCTGGCAGACCGACAGACGTCGTCAGCTTTCCCGTCCCAGATTGACACTGCAACCTCAAAAGGCAGTTTTGTGGCAAGCCAGCAACCTCAAAAGGTTTGCAAGCCAGCGCTTACAAGGGCTGAGGTGGCAAGTTGATGAGCAGCTTTCTCGTCGCTGGTCGTGGAGTTGGACCTTTCCCAGGATAAGGGAAAACCTGGAAAGAATTCCTGGTATTCTCCTGCCTTCGCGGACCTGTCCTTCCGCCTCACTTCCCCCCCCCTCCTCCTCACCTGCCCTTCCGCCTCCTTGATTCTGAGAAAAGGCTCCCCGCTCCACCGTGGACGGTGCCTTTTGGCGCGTTCTAGCTAGAAAGCAAGCCTCTGCCTCCAATGTAGGAAGTAATTCTGAGCTGCGAAGTTGCAATTGGGGTTGTGGTGTTGCAAAATTGCTAGCCAATTCGAAAGCGGACTGCCGCGACGTGCTTATTCTTCTCCTCGGCTTGGGTCCTCTTCTGTTTACCCATATTATATCTCGTCTAGAGCAAGGGCGTGGGGTGTTCAGGCCTTCTATTTTTTTTTCCCCTCAGTGACTCTGCGTTTTTAAAAGGAATGTCTTTGGAACCGTTAATTCTCTGTGGCGACTGTTTCACTGACGCCTTCCTTATCTAACTTGAAAAACACAAACGTCACAACTCGAAGTTTTTTGGGATTGTTGAAAATGCTAGTTCAGAACTAGTTGTAAATAAGGGTGGGGTGAGGGAAGATTGCTACAAGTGTGTCTAATTTGGACTGAAAAATCCCATTGTGTTCTGATGACTACACTTACTCAGTTTCTACAGGATTGGCTTAATATATCTTTGATCATCTTGATTCTAGTTCATGAAAGTTTACAATAATTTTAGCAGGAATCAGCTGATAGAATACCTTATAAATAATAATCATCTTGCGCTGTTCAAATGCTAGATTTTGTGTTATTTAAAATAGATTTAATAATGGGGGGGGGGAAACCCAGCTAGAGATTAAACACTTGGTAAAGTAGTATGAATGGTAAAAAGAAAGAAGTCTTAATGGTAGAAAATCTCTAGTAGGAAAAAAAAACTTAGAAATGAATACACATACAGTGTACAGTAGTGATACTATATGGGGTTTATAATTCCTGATAAGGGAGTATAGGAAATCAGATTTGGGCTTGTAAATTTATTCTACAAGATGGAAGTTGTTAGATCTTCAGTGTCCAGAAGAAGAAGAAAAAGATTTTAAAAAGTAAAAGCAAACCAAAAGAAAAGTTGTCTGCTTAATTTTAATTGATACATTTCTGTTCATGGAGAGATAAGTGTGCAATTTATCATTCACCTGTTAGAAGGCGTGACTGCTAAATCTTTTAAACTACTGTGTGCAATGCACCAGGCATTGGAAGTGTTATACCTTGTCCATTGGCAACTGGTCATGCTCACAGCCAGATCTGAATTGATTCTCCTGACATGCTGCGCAATGACCCCCTTATATTCATTTACAAGAATGCCTTTGGAAATCATATTTTTAGAAAAGAAATGTGATATGTATCCTTTTTGTATGAAATTAGAAGTAAAAAGAAGTAGTGTGCATTCTCAGGATAAAGGGGAAGAAAGAAATGATATAACAATTTGCTTTCTGGTAAATAGGGTTGCCAGTGGCAATGTCACCATGGCAGCTACTTATGAAAAATGTCGACAACATGTTCTCAAATATAGTCACAGGATGTGTCCCACCCCATCATTGCCTGATCTTATTAGTTCTCTTTATTTCTCTTTCTATACAAACACACACACATGCACACACATTCATTCATTGAGGTTAGAATGGCGCTTTAAGCAGATAGGCTGGCAATAGTTAACATTCTTAAGGGATTTTTTTTTTCCTATTCAACCTATTTATTTTGTTTTCCCCATTATTACATAAGCAATGTCTATATCCAGTATGTTGCTCCTAATATTTTATCTGGTCATTATGCATGCCAGTAAAACAATGTGGATGGAAAAACTTGCAAACTATTACAAGCCTGTGGTGATGTAAATAATTTGGCAAGTGTGTTTAATCCTTGGTTTCAAATGGGTGATTACTGTGATACTGAAGATTTTTTTTTTTTGTCTTGGTTTCTATTTGTTTTTATACACCACCCAGATTTGTTTAAAAAACAAATAAATTCACTATAATTCCATATAAGAATAAACTTATTGTGAGTTGACAGAAGTGGATTGAGTTTATAACACTATCACACTATACACTGGATTACTGTAAATATATAGTTAAATACTAAACATAGTACAAGTAGTCCTCGACTTATGACCATAATTGAGCCCAACATTTCTGTTGCTAAGTGAAACATTTGTTAAGTGAATTTGCCCCATTTTACAACTTTTCTTGCCACAGTTGTTAAGTGAATCATTGCAGTTAAGTTAATAACACAGTTGTTGAGTGAATCTGGCTTCCCCATTGACTTTGCTTATAAGAAGGTCAGAAAAGGGGATCACACTGGGACACTGCAACAGTCCTAAATATGAGACAGTTGACAATTGTCTTAATTTTGATCACATGACCATGGGGATGCTGCAAGTGTGAAAATAATCATAAGTCACTTTTTTTCAGTGCTGTTGTAACATTGGACGGTTAATAAATGAACTTTGTAAGTCGAGGATCACTTGTACCATGCTTATATATTGGAAGCTATTTGCACAGGTTAACAGAAGGGAAAGTGCATACCATGATTATAAAGATAGAGACTCCTGAGTTGTAAAAAAACAAGAGAATGGAAAAAAATGACTAACAGTTTATTTCCAGTTCAGACAAGGTGCTACTATTTAGGAAAACTTGTGACACTTCTATTAGTGTCAACTTTTGTTACGGTAATCTGAATATATCTTGGTGAGATCATGCTAAAAAAAGGATAGTCTAAATGTTCAAACGTTATTGAACGTTATTGAATGTTGGAGGACACATGGGGCAGAATTACGTAATAATGTATTTTATGAATGCTTACAAGCATTTCAGAGACCGAGTGCCCAAACTGCAACCCAAAAACCACTTATGTATCGTCGGGCGCCAGGTGGGCTTGGCCCATTGGGTGGGTGTGGCCCATTGGCTGGGCATGGCCCATTGGCTGGGCGAGGCTGTGGTGTAATAGCAGACTGGATGGGACTAAAACATTCAACCAATCAATTACAACTTTGTGAGATCTTTTTTTTCCGTGAGAAGTTGAAATTGATTGATTGATTGAACCTTTTTTTTTTTTTTTGCACATGGCAGCGAAGGCCTAAAGCGAAAAGGTTTTATAAAACCCAGCTGAAGGCCTAGTACTGGGCGATGGCCCGCGTGCCCACAGAGAGGGCTCTGTGCGCCACCTGTGTCACGCGTGCCATAGGTTCGATACCACGGATATAAGGAGTACATACCAGAGTAAAAACAAAAGTAAATTGTACAGGTAGTCCTGGACTTAACCACGATTGGCATCAGATTTTTTATTACTAAGAAACACAGTTCTTAAGTGAATCATGCCCGATTTTACAATTTTTTTTGCCATGGTTGTTAAGCAAATCACTGCAGTTGTTAAGTGAATTACATGGCATTAAGCAAATCTGGCTTCCCCCATTGATTTTGCTTTTCTGGGAAGGTTGCAAAAAGCAATCACATGATTCTGGGGTGCTGCAACTATCGTAAATACTTGCAAGTTTCCAAGCACCTGAATTCTGATCATGTGATCACAGTGGTGCCATGACAGTCTTAAGAGTGAAGACAGTTGTAAGTCATTTTTTTCAGTGTCATTGTAATTTCAGGCAGTTGCTAAATGGATGGCTGTAAGTTGTATTATGCTTCTTTACATAATACTTATTACAGTGGTGCTAATAAAAGGCAAATGGCTGATTTGTCAAACTATGATTAGGTAGCAAAATACAAACTATATTTAAAACCAAATTTTTCCTTTGCTCCTTTCTTTTTGTTACCAAGAAGCTTATCTTAAATGTTAATATTTATCAATTCATATATAATGACTAATGTATTATGCACTGCTGCTAAATTCTCCTTAATTTTTTTACTGGCCTAATTAGAAGATAAATACAATAATGTACTTGGGTCATTCTGTGACATATGGGCTTCATGAAATATACCTTCATTCAGTCACTCTCAGCTCAGTTCACCTAACAGGATTGTTGTGGGGAAAATAAGAGGAAAGAATATTAGGTATATTTGCCACCTTGAGTTATTTATAAAAATAATAAAGTGGAGTAAAAAGGTAACTCCACCCCACCCCCGTAAATTTTAGTGAAAGAATAACAGTGATTCATCAGGATCCATTCTGCAGCTCCCTCCCCCAGAACCCTCCTCTCAGTGGGTAAACTCAGATTTTCTTTTCTGCATATTTTGCAATGTTGTCTTAAGGAACCTATTTGCAGAAGCTTAAGCCATTTATATCTCCCCTAAAGTCCCCCAAGATTCCTCTGGTCCTATTCACTACTAGAATGTAGCCATTTACTAACTATGGATAGTCCAGTGAGTTTATCACGCAGAGAGAAAATGCCTGTTTCTGCTGTTTTAAGGTCATTACCAGCTCTTCTTTTTAACAGAGTTCCTTGTTTTTTTTTATGAAAGATTGATGTGCTGTCTGATTTTCAGTGTGCACATACAGTAGCTAATTTCACCTAAACAGTTTAGTAAATTGTCACAACTGGAGATTCCCAACAATTCAGGATTTGTAAGTCATCCCAGAATATATAAGCAAGAACCAACTTTTATCGGTCGAATCTGGTTTAGAAGGAGCACACTAAACCAGGAATTTTAACTCAAAAAGCAGAAATTTTTTTTGTTTTGTTCAAGGTGTTGAGTCAGGCCATCTATCTAATCTAATCTTGCCAATCAGTCTCCAAAATCTTAGGTAGAGAACTTTATCACTCTGCCTGTGCCTTTTTCTTCTAAAACAAGATCATTTTAAAAAGTGGGAGTGTCAATATTTTAGCTTCCAATTAATCTGAATTCCTTCCCTCAGAAAAGGGATAATCAGTAAAATGAGAAAGCATGATCTATTTGTTGAAGAAAATTCTCAAAAGTGTCATATGTCATTAGTATAATATAAGAACAGTTTTAACATTCCTAATAAAGTTATTATTGTTTTAACCTTCGGAATTCTTCCTTATTTCCCAATTCCAGCAATTATTGTATATAGGTTACCATGGACCTGGAAATGCAGCAAATTTTTGATGAAATTAATCCATGCCGGGTTACATACTGTTGCTCTGACGCTTGCTATTATTTCCCTGGTGGCTGTTTTTGATTTCCATAATGCTAAGAAGATTCCTAACATGTACAGTCTGCACAGCTGGATTGGATTGACTGCTGTAATTCTTTATGCTCTGCAGGTTAGATGTCATTTATAAACTATACTTAACAATAGAATAAGATTATTTTAACTTTACTAAAAATGTACTATATATACATTACTTTTAACTAGGAATTTTGTATTTTGCAGTTCTTAGACATAAATCTTACAACTTGATAAATTAACCTTTGTCAAATGAAGGCAAATATACATGTCCCAGGATAATGTTGCAAGATCCAATCTGGCTCGGTCATTGGGACCAAAAGTTTTGTTTTCCGAGCTTTTGAACTCATGCTGGAGCCTCTAGAGAGAAGTTCCCTGAGGATGTGCTTAAGCACGTGTCCGAAAGCTCGGAAGATAAAACCTTGGTCCTGGTGACCAACCCAGATTGGATCCTGCAGTATCTTTTGTAAACAAAAGAGATATAAGATATATTACCTTTAAGCAGTTTGCATTCTGCTGCAGAAATCTGTTCAGGAACAAAAAAAAATACTTTCTTAATAAACATTTTGCAATTACAATTAAAAAAACTAGATTGCCAATATTTTGCAGATTGTAAATTAACACTTAAATGTAAAGGGACTGGTTTAGTTCCTTTAAAAAAAATGAGAAAATCAAATTATTTGCCAAGGAACTGTCAGTATAGTACTGTAAGAGGATCTTTCTCATAAGAGGTAGATTTTAAAAGACAATATTATACACATTGTTTTGTGGATTCAGTAGTCTCTGAAAATAGTCTTTCTATTTTTTCCTTAGAGTACCGGTACTTTTAGTAAGGAACTTTTTGGTTCTCCAGCGTTTATTAAATTATTGAGAATGCTGCTCTTTCTATATTCAGAAGAGTTTCATTTTACCACCTTTGACTATAGAGTTTTTTGTATAAATTTTACAGAGTATCCTAGAAATATGTTCAGACTTTCTTGTTTTTAATAGTAATGTATATCATTTAGCATAAAAATTTATATATAAGTTGGGGGAAGCCATTGCCCTCTAGAAGAGCTCCATAATAATGAGGAGTGTAGTTCAATAGAATTTGGATATCCAAAACATCCTTACTTACTTCTTCTCTAAATCCACTTAGAGAAGAGGATAGGATACGAAAGGATGATTGTAGTCCTGAGCAGCTTGCCCCAATAAGCAACTAATTGTTTATTGTAGTACAAAGCACACATTTTTAAAAGGTGGCAGTAGATTTGGCACTGGTAGCTACTCCAAGTTTCAGGATTGTGGCCCAACAAGGCAGTATTTAATGGCAGTATTTTTAGGGAGTTTCTATTCTGATTCTATTGCTCATAAGATACAAGATTTTGCAGCCCAAACATATAAAAATAAAAGTGTTTGTACACCCAGGCTATGCAATTTATATCTGTTTATCTATACTGCGTGCCAGGGGGATTGACTGGGAATATAAAAATGTACTCCTTTATCCAGTCTGTGGATCTGTTCCTAATGCCTTAGTGTCGAGCTCCTATTCAGTCTGAGAATTCACATTTTCAAGAATGGGCCAAAAACGATTTTAGCTAAAAATGGCTTTTCTTCCTGGCTAGAGTACTAATTCAAGATGGTTAAAATTAGTGGGGAAAACTATTGACAGATAAATATTAATTTAACACTAAATAAACATTTACTGTATTAAGATAAATAAAACAAGATAAAAGAAATATTAAGATACTGTTTAATAATAATAATAAGAAAATAGCCTCTACTCTTATCTGTTTAGTTCAGCCAAAGGGCTCCTGGCCTTCCAGAAGAGCATAAAGACCTGGCTCTGCCAGCTGGGGGTCCAAGAGAGCTAGCAATTCTGGGAGTGGCTGGTGGGCTGAAGGTTCCCCCTTTGGCTTTCAACTTCACAGTTGTCTCTTTTATCTTCATTGTGATTCGGTTTTAGCTTACTTTTAACCATTGCTTTTATATCATTTTACTGTTTTATGTGTAAACCGCCCAGAGGCACACACGTGTGATGAGTGGTATAAAATATGCCATGAGATTTCAAAAGATTTCAGGAAATAATTTAGGAATCAAATTTGGCACCGCCTCATAAAGATTTATCTTCGTGTTTGATTTTGAAATAATGCATATCGTTGTCGTTTACTAAACGTTATCTACATATTAGCTTGTTCTAGGCCTTCTGGTTTTCCTGCTTCCCATTGCCTCCACTTCCCTTCGGACAATTGTTATGCCGATACACGTTTATTCAGGACTTCTCCTCTTTGGATCAGTGATTGCCACAGCCCTAATGGGAATTACAGAAAAACTTTTTTTTACTCTGTAAGTATTTGCTTGGATGTTACTAGTTTGTTTTTTGTTTAACAACAACACTTAACTAATTTACTATTGTTAATGGTTCCCTTAATTTTAACTTGTTTTTCCCAGAAAGGAAAATCCTTCCTATAGCAGTTCTCCAGAAGAAGCTATTTTTGTCAATGTTCTCGGTGTCCTAATTGTTGCCTATGGAGCTGTAATTTTGTGGATGGCTACAAGGCCCCATTGGAAGCGCCCACTCGAATACATTTTCCAAACCCATGAACGGATTGGAGAAGGGCTCAGTGATGATGACTGTCATAGTCCAGATCTGGAGTTCAACAGTGATGCAGCTGCTAGGAAGAGAAGTCCTAAATCTGATGAAGCCGGACAGAGATCAGCGATGTAAAGAAAGCGTATAACAATAATTTGCAAAGAAGAAAACGTAACTTTCCTATTCTCCCCCAGATCTTCAACACACTATGTATTGCTTTATTAATATTGTTAGAATTTTTCTGAATAAATGAGGACAGTTGCAAAGACTTTAATTTTAGAAGTATCTATGTTCACATGGTGCCACTATGGTGATTTGTACTGTATTCCTTGACAATTTTGAGAAAGATCTAAAAATATCACGTCAGCTTCATGAAACAATTTTTAATTGATTTTGACTAATGGAAAAATCTTTAAAAGTACAAGATAAACCATTAGATTTCAGATATTGGAAGAAAGTTATGAAGAAAGGGAAGCACTCCATTGAATATAATTGCTGTAACTCTTGATACTTATTTAATGTCGTTCAAACTTGATTCCGTAGCACTGTGGAACTTCTGCCTATCTTGGAAAGCTGAATAATTGCTTCCACAGTTGATTCCCCTTCACTTTCTCTCCACTTTGATGTTGCTTTCCATTGGCCTTGGAGGAGAGCTGTGTATTCTGCAATTCAAAATTATGACTATGTGGCCAGGGAGGGGGGAGGGGCGAGGCAAAGCAGGTGGATAGGAGTTAAATTATTACCCTACCTAGCTTCTTTCTTTACATACAAACAAAGTTCTGCTATCGCAGCAATCTCAGACATTATTGTTACAGGGCAATCAATATTGTTTTTCCACAACCACATTTAAATGGATATTGGCTTAACGCAGTATCTCCATTATTTGGATTAAATATTATCTTGGAGTGATTACAGTTTGTTCAGGTTATAAGGAAATATAATGCATACTAGACTTAAGTAAATTAAAGTTGTGTTACTCTAAACTTTTATTCTCAAAGAATGCCATTTGAACATATGTACATTCAAGAGTGTTGCAGGAAAGAAAATGAAATTATTTTTTTCATTGATAATAGATGGCCAGCTTTGTCTATATTTGGCAAAGAGCAAGCCTTCTCTCTGATCTCATTTTCCTTAATGTTTACTAACTGAAGCTGTTGCATTAAATTCTAGTTCTTCTGAATTGATGATAGTTACTACACATTTTCAATAAGCTACTTATTTTTAGGAGGAGGAAGAGCATTTCCTTTATTTTGTGCTTAGATTTCAATAAGTTTCCTAAGAAAAACTATACAGTAATGAAAATAATTGGAACAGTCAACCTCCATTTCATGAGACGATGCTGTGCTTTAGAATAGTCCAATTTGTGTGTTTTATGTTTTGATCCGTCAGGTACAAAAGATCAGATCCATAGTGGAGGTTAAATTAAACTATTGCTAAAAGCCTATTCATAGGAATCCTCTTAGCTAACATCTAAGAGTTAGATAAGGGTCAACAGCATTCAGAGGTGGGGTGGGGGCTTGGACTTGGTTCTCTTGTGGCTATAAAGGGATTCTAGACTGATCCCCTTTTTCAGTCCACCCCCAGGTTCTGCCATCTCTTCTCGTACATGATTGTCCTTTTACAGTGTCAGGTGACATCATTAATCCTAAACCAGCCCTCCCGGTGGTACTGCCAGCTGTATGCCAAATCTATAGGGCTTTCATTTTTCCAAGGACACTGAACATAGGCTTATATAGAGGATTCATTGCATTTTAATTTTGCTCTAGATAACTTTATTTAGAAATTATTGAAGCTAAAAATGTCATCTACTTTTAGTTTAACAATAAATACTAGCTACATTGTTGGAAGGACCCTTTAACTATTATAGAGGATGTTACACACAATAAAAGATAGAACTTAACATTATTCTAGGCCAGTGGTTCTCAACCTTTCTAATGCCGCGACCCCATAATATAGTTCCCCATGTTGTGGTGACCCCCAACCACTTATACATCACCGGGTGCCAGGGGTGTGGCCAAAGAAAAGGGGGAAAAAATGGCAGACAGCCTTGTTTGGCGACCCCCGTGAAATGGTCGTTCGACCCCAAATGGGGTCCCGACGCACAGGTTGAGAACCACTGTTCTAGGCAATATTGAGAAAATGTATTCAGCACATCCCTGATTACATTTTGAAAAGATTGTCTAAATGTATTTCTGGACAGTATGGCATGAGGTACGTACTTGGACTTTAGGGAAGGTAATCAGATTTTTGAATCATCATTGCAGCTCATTTGGAGAAAAGATCAAAACTGCAGCAGCAAACTCAGATCCTTTTTAAAAAGTACTCTTTTCTCAGTACTTTTAATTGATTTCCAAAATCAGTTTGCCTTCAAATGTGCAATATAAATTAAAGCATTCATCATCTCAGAAAATTGCTACTTAGTTTCTGAAAGAAATCAAAGATATTTCATGTCAGTGTCCTTACTCTGACTAGTCTGCTATTGTGGACAGGAAAAGAGAGCAGTTAATCCTGTCAACTTTCTATGCCAAAAATTGTCTTTTGTACCCTGATTTGCTGCTGGTTGCAGTGTTAACTGTGAGCCATTGTGAAAGTGACCTTAGGAAACAGTGGCCTTCCTCAGACTTGCTTTTCAGGTAAATTGGGATTGCAACTTCCAAAATGAAGGCTAATGAGTTGTTTTTTCAATATTAGGTGAGAACTGCTGCACTGTAGATGATAAGCTCCATCCCAAACATCTACATAGCCCTTTTCTATGATAACAGCTTCAGAGAAGCCAAGCTCAGAAGGGTGATGGTAGAAGATGTAAAACTTGGCAAACTGATCTCTACAGAAGACAATGAGTAAGAAGAATTTGCATTGTAATAGCCTTCATATTTTGAATTTTTAAACCAGTGGTTCTCAACCTTTTTAATGCTGCGACCCCCAACCGGTTGTAAGTCAAGGACTACTCAACCGGTCATAAGTCGAGGACTACTCAACTGGTGCAGCACCGTTTGCAGAATGGGACTTTTGGCGGGCTCAGCAGGGCAGAGACAGCCTGGACAATTCCTATTGGCTTTTGAAAGCCAATAGAATTAGACTCTATTCAAGAGAGTTTGTTCTATTGGCTTTCAAAAGCCAATAGAATAAAAGGGAGTAGCACAGCTAAGGAAAAGGGGAAAAAAATGGTGGACTGCGTTGTTTGGCGACCCCTGTGAAATGGTCGTTCGACCCCAAATGGGGTCCCGACCCACAGGTTGAGAACCACTGTTTTAAACAAACAGAGCGGAATTATTGACACCAAAAATTGCCTTATAGAGTGTTTCTCAACCTTGGTAACTTCTATGATGTATGGACTTCAACTTCTAGAATTCCCCAGCCAGCATGCCACACATTTTAAAATTGCCAAGATTGAAAAACACTGGCCTTACGTATCGGTGACTATGTGTTCCACATTTCTAAAAGAATGCATGCTGTACTACATATTAGAATAAACAGTATAATTTTAATAAAAAGCGAACTTGGATATTGCCAATATCAGAAATATTTGGAAATCCATTTGAATATGCGGGATCAGCACTTTGTAAAGTAAAAAATTTGTAACTATTTTTATATTACAATAAAATGTAATGAAGATAATCAAACTGTCAGTTCTTTATCATACCAGTTCCCTCAATTTTCACAGTTGCAATTCAAATAGGTTATAATACTATACTTTTTTAATATAGCAAAAATTAACAAAGGAGTTGAGTTTATTTTGCATTAATCATATGTAATCTTTCAGAAACCCCAAAGTAAGGATTATCTCCCTATCATAAGAATGAGTAGGGTCAGGGTCATAAATCTTAATCTTAATCAGGTAACAACAGAATGTAAACGGTGCATTTTCAGTCATGAAATTCCCTTACCAAAAAATCTTTATGGATATTTCTGTGCCTGATGGAGATTTCTTTTTTCTCCTGTCTGTAGGGCTCTAATGTTTGGACAAAAAGGCTGGGCACCAAGAGAGGAAATTTACTGTAAAGGGTAGAGAATTACTGTAAAAAGGATGGGAGAAGAGAACAGGAGTATGGAAGAAGGAAGCAAAATGATGTGAGGGTATGAAATGAGGAAGAAGCTGCTCACAAACTGCTCCAGCCTTTTTAAAACAAGCCAGCAATCCCAGACATTTTGATGCCTTTTAAATTCCCAGTGAGTCTTAAAAATGCATTAACTGGGAAAAGCAGTTCCTAATATAGCTCAGTTTGCTATCTGTCTCCCAGCATTGAAGATCACTTCATAGAGCAGTGGTTCTCAATCTTTTTATACCGGCGACCCTGGTCATAAGGAGGCGGCGCGCATGTGCGGCAGCGCCCCCATGCGCGGCGCCCCCTGCGCGGCGGCGCCCACATGCGCCACCCCTGCACGGCATGCATATGCAGCGGCGCCCCCCACATGCGCCACCCCTGCACGGCATGCATATGCGGCGGCGCCCCCTGTGCCGGCTGAGGAAAAAAAATGGTGGATCGCGTTGTTTGGCGACCCCTGTGAAATAGTCGTTTGACCCCAAATGGGGTCGCGACCCACAGGTTGAGAACCGCTGTCATAGAGCTAAGAACAGAAAGAACATTCCCCCTAAATGCAACAAAATTCACCTGAGGCTAAACATAGACTGAGGATTACCTTAATGCAATATGAATTTGATAAACATAATTAATTTCTCCAGTTAGATATCTTTGGCTTCTATCAGTGGTGAATTTCCCTCAATATGCCCAGGTTCTAATATTATTTCAATGTTTCATAGGCTAATGTCATGTGTGAAATTATTCTAAGAATGAAATTCTTTTGCAACATCATAACTGCTTATTTTGTACAAGGATAGAAAATATGGATAGACCTCACCAATTTGAATGTCACCTGTTCCTGCTTTTTTGGATTGCATCTCTAGATCAAAGACTAAATACAGCATAATACATAACTGTAAGAGCTAAACTCTTGTGATGGTCCCAAATGCTCTTGCTCAAATACTCTGCTTATCCTTGATCTTCCTTTGAGTCCTCCTGCTAATAGAGGTTGAAGGAATAGCTACAGGGGAGAGAGTCACCAGGTACCACACTGTCAATCTCTTCTAGCCTCAGAAACTCAACAGGATTGTGTCTACATAGCCACCAGGAAGGTAGGTAATTTAGTATAGGTAATCCTCTCTTTATGACCCTAACTGGGACTGGCAACTCTTTCTCTAAGCAAAGTGGCCGATAAGTGAAATGATGTGACCCCACCATTTAGCAACAGCAGTTTTGGCAGTCCCGGCTATAG